CAGATGATCTTGTCACAGTGCTCGTCTGTACGTTACAATGTACCGATGATTATGTAACAGTGCTCGTCTGTACGTTACAGATGATCTTGTCACAGTGCTCGTCTGTACGTTACAATGTACTGATGACCATGTAACAGTGCTCGTCTGTACGTTACAGATGATCTTGTAACAGTGTTCGTCTGTACGGTACCGATGATCATGTAACAGTGCTCGTCTGTACGTTACAGATGATCTTGTCACAGTGCTCGTCTGTACGTTTCAGATGATCTTGTCACAGTGCTCGTCTGTACGTTACAATGTACCGATGATTATGTAACAGTGCTCGTCTGTACGTTACAGATGATCTTGTCACAGTGCTCGTCTGTACGTTACAATGTACTGATGACCATGTAACAGTGCTCGTCTGTACGTTACAGATGATCTTGTCACATTACTAGTCCGTACGTTACAATGTACCGATGATCATGTAACAGTGCTCGTCCGTACGTTACCGATGACCATGTAACAGTGCTCGTCTGTACGTTACAGATGATCTTGTCACAGTGCTCGTCCGTACGTTACAATTTACTGATGACCATGTAGCAGTGCTCGTCTGTAAGTTACAGATGATCTAGTCACAGTGCTCGTCTGTACGTTACAGATGATCTTGTCACAGTGCTCGTCTGTACGTAACAATGTACTGATGATCACGTAACACTGCTCGTCTGTACGTTACTAGTGCCCTTGTCATAGCTCTTGTCTGTACGGTACCGATGACCTGGGCACAGTGCTCCTCTTTAATGTACTGATGACCTTTCCACAGTGTTCGTCTGTACGACATCGATGGCTTTGTTACAGTTCTCGTCTGTACAGTACCGATGACCGTGTCACTATGCACGTCTGTACAGTACCGATGACCTTGTCAGTGTGCTGGACTGTACAGTACCGATGACCTTGTCACTGTGCACGTCTGTACGGTACCGATGACCGTGTCACTATGCTCGTCTGTACGTTACAATGTACTGATGACAGTGCGACATCGATGGCTTTGTTACAGTTCTCGTCTGTACAGTACCGATGACCCTGTCACTATGCTCGACTGTACAGTACCGATGACCGTGTCACTGTGCACGTCTTTACAGTACCGATGACCCTGTCACTATGCTCGACTGTACATTACAGATGACCCTGTCACTATGCTCGTTTGTACGGTACCGATGATTGTGTCACAGTGCTCGTCTGTACGGTACCTACGACCCTATCACAGTGCTCGTCTGTACGGTACCGATGACCCTGTCACTATGCTCGTCTGTACGGTACCGATGACCTCGTCACAGTGCTCATTTGTATGACACCGGTGACAGGTCAGTGCTTGTCTGAACCGTATATGAAACAACTATTGCGACACTATTCGTCCGAATGGTGTACGGGACAATTAATCTTACCGCATTGTTCGTCCGAGCCGTCACGACAATCCCTGTCACTATCACATTGCCATTCCTTTGGGATACATTCGCCTGTCCCGCACCGGAAGTGAACGCCATTGCACGTATTCTGTGGTTGCGGTGTTACCGTTTTTGTTTCTGCAGTATAAACATAAACGAGTTAGACATAGTATACTCATATGTAGTTGCCAGTATCTTATATTTATTATAAAAGAAGTTTGACTATTCAGTAAGTCTGGGATAATAAAAACTGAATCGTATCCTCTCTCTCGTCAAAGGTACTATATACCCCCTGCACACTTTTTGTCCCATTCGTTTCCTCCACTCGCCTCTTCCCCAGGGATACTTACTACAAAGCTCTGGAGCCTCGTCCTGACCGTCCGGGCAGTCCTCCGCCCCATCGCACACCCAGCTTTCCAGGAGACAAAGCCCATTGATGCACTGAAAGTCCGTCCCCTCGCAGTTCTGGCCGTCTACAACAGATGAAGGGGGACAACTTGTACAACGTTAGCCGTTACAAGCAGAGAACAGTCACTATTTATTCACGCATTGAGTTTCAAACTTTAATATTGGCTTATCAGTTTACCATTATTTACCAGTGGTTAGACAGATATACGTCTCCATACATATGTTAAGAAACGTTATTACCAATGGTCAAGCAAGACGAACGTTACCCCCTCAGACATATTAGAACATGCACTTACCCGTGGTTAGGGAGAGAAAAAGAAGTGAACTGCAGAAACAGATAAAATTCCAGATCTATAAATAAAAGAAACAAATTTGAATGAAAAACGGCCCCATCGTTTAGTTGCAGAAGTAATGATTAGCGTTGACTGTTTTAGCAGTGACACCTATAATTCTATTGATGAGTGTTTAGGTACAAGATGGTCATGCATATCATTACTGAACATTATACAGTTAATGTTTCCCAAGGCTAGCAGTACAGGAATTATATCCATCAAGTGGAGACAATTACCGAAACCCCATACTTTAACTGTTTTAGTATAAAGCGGTTTACGAACAAACCATTTTTATCAGCAATATTCCACCCACAATTCCCTAAAACCTACCGAGAACCGTATCTCCTCTAGTACCTGCGCTTTTCTTTGGATAAAAGAACTATCCGACTTACACATGTCTGATAGAGGACCAACTCTCGCTCTCTCTCCCTGGACAGCCAGGTCGGATTTAAAGCATGGATATAGTCAATTTGATAAATCACGTGTATACAGAGTGAATAAATTGAAGGTATATAATTGTTAACAAATCAGAATAGTCACTGCGCCGTTCTTAGAATGGAGAGTGCTGAAGCCTGTTTCGTCTCAAATCCCCGTTTTTCTCGCGGGACCAACGCCAGGTTGTTGAGAGTAAACATAAAACGAACATGATACAATGCAGGTTTATAATCTGAACACGATATATGATATACACTAGACACACAATTACTATATACGGTGATAGTCGGCATTATTGCATATCTATAACATTTATGTATCCCATGTTTCTACGGTGACAAATGACGCATTTATTTTTGCACAAAAAGTCTTGTTTTTCTTATTGTGATATCGCACTATATTTGGCGGGAAATAGGCTACTGTAAACTAACACATTTTCTTTAAAAAGAATGACGCATACAAAGGATATTCGTAGTTTCTTGGTGAATAACAGCTATACTTAACTATTGTTTAAAAAAAACAGCTTTCATGGGTGCTACAAATCAAAAGTCTTCTCTATACATTGACATTGTTACTATTTTAAAGCATTTCCCAGGTGTGAAAACTGTCCGAGTGTAACGAAACAGGACACTGGATACGTGTTTAGTCGTTCTATTTAAAATGTGAAGCGATCAGAAAATCAGTCCAGAACACGTGTTTTCATACCACCTACTGAACTAATGCCCCCATTAAACTAAATAACTCGGCTTTATAATTTGGATCTAGACACATCAATTTACTGGTGACATGAAGTCATTCTACGCAAGTTACAACTGGAATAGACCAGCTTTGCGTAAAAAATACATTTTTACCTACTGTACACTACAATTATATACTGTACAGGGTAACAGCAGACTGACATCTGTGTGAGGGGTATATACTGTACAGGGTTACAACAGACTGATATCTGTGTGAGTTGCACATACTGTACACGGTAACAACAAGCAAACATCACTGTCAGGTGGTATATACTGTACATGGTTACAACAGACTGATATCTGTGTGAGGGGTACATTTATGTATATACTGTACAGGGTCACAACAAGCAAACATCACTGTCAGGGGGTATATACTGTACATGGTTACAACAGACTGATATCTGTGTGAGGTGTACATTTATGTATATACTGTACAGGGTTACAACAGACTGATAGCTGTGTGAGGGGTATATACTGTGCAGGGTTACAACAGACCGATATCTGTGTGAGGCGAACATACTGTACAGGGTCACATCAAGCAAACATCACTGCCAGGGGGTGTATACTGTACAGGGCAACAACAAACATAAATCTCTGTGTGAGGGGTGAATACTGTATATAGTTACAACAGACTGATAGCTGTGTGAGGGGTATAGACTGTACAGGGTTACACCAGACTGATATCTGTGTGAGGTGTACATACTGTACAGGGTCACAACAAACAAACATCTCTGTGAGGGGGTATATACTGTACAGGGTTACAACAGACTGATATCTGTGTGAGGGGTATATACTGTACACGGTAACAACAAGCAAAAATCTCTGTGAGGGGGTATATACTGTACAGGGTTACAACAGACTGATATCGGTGTGAGGTGTACATACTGTACACGGTAACAACAAGCAAACACCACTGTCAGGGGCTATATACTGTACAGGGTTACAACAGACTGATATCTGTGTGAGGTGTACATTTATGTATATACTGTACAGGGTTACAACAGACTGATATCTGTGTGAGGTGTACATACTGTACAGGGTCACAACAGACTGATATATGTGTGAGGTGTACATACGGTACAGGGTCACAACAAGCAAACATCACTGTCAGGGGTATATATACTGTACAGGGTTACAACAGACTGATATCTGTGTGAGGTGTATATACTGTGCATGGTTACAACAGACTGGTATCTGTGTGAGGGGTATATACTGTGCAGGGTAACAACAAGCAAACATCACTGTCAGGGGTATATATACTGTACAGGGTTACAACAGCCGGATATCTGTGTGAGGGGTATATACTGTACATAGTTACAAGACTGATATCTGTGTGAGGTTTACATACTGTACAGGGTCACAACAGACTGATATCTATGTGAGGGGTATATACTGTGCATGGTTACAACAGACTGATATCTGTGTGAGGGGTATATACTGTGCATGGTTACAACAGACTGATATCTGTGTGAGTAGTATATACTGTACAGGGCAACAACAAGCAAACATCACTGTCAGGGGGTATATACTGTACATAGTTACAAGACTGATATCTGTGTGAGGTGTACATACTGTACACGGTAACAACAAGCAAACATCACTGTCAGGGGGTATATACTGCACATAGTTACAACAGACTGATATCTGTGTGAGGGGTATATACTGTGCAGGGTAACAACAAGCAAACATCACTGTGAGGTGTACATACTATACACGATAACAACAAGCAAACATCACTGTCAGGGGGTATATACTGTACATAGTTACAACAGACTGATATCTGTGTGAGGGGTATGTACTGTGCATAGTTACAACAGACTGATATCTGTGTGAGGGGTATATACTGTACAGGGTAACAACAAGCAAACATCTCTGTGTGAGGGGTATATACTGTACATAGTTACAACAGACTGATATCTGTGTGAGGGGAACATACTGTACAGGGTCACAACAGACTGATATGTGTGTGAGGGGTACATACTGTACACGGTAACAACAAACAAACATCACTGTCAGGGAGATATACTGTACAGGGTTACATCAAGCAAACATCACTGTCAGGGGGAATATACTGTACAGGGTTACAACAGACTGATATCTGTGTGAGGGGGATATACTGCACAGGGTCACAACAGACTGATATCTATGTGAGGGGTACATACTGTACATAGTTACAACAGACTGATATCTGTGTGAGGGGGATATACTGCACAGGGTCACAACAGACTGATATCTGTGTGAGGGGTATATACTGTACAGGTACATATGTGTGATGGGTATATATTGTACAGGGTTACAACAGACCGACATCTGTGTGAGTGGTACATATAGTACAGGGTTACACCAGACTGACATCTGTGTGAGTGGTACATATAGTACAGGGTAACAACAAACAGACATCTGTGTGACAGGTACATATTGTACCGGGTTACTACAGACTGATATATATGTGAAGGATACATACGGTACAGGGTTACACCCACATATATGTTAGGGGTACATACGGTAGAAGCTTACAACAAACTGACATCCGTGTGAGACTACACATCTGTGTGAGATGTATTTATGTTAAATAATTGAAATGTATCATTGATTATTTTCTTTAATCCGTGATAGTTATAACCTCTCTCGTTCCTACAAATCGTTTTTGAAAACAAAGTGACATACTATTTTTTTTCCTACTTTTAAGTCCTGTTATAAGATTTCTAATTATTCTTAACCAAGCACTAAAGGTTTGAATGTCCACGACATATTAATGTCGTATACACGCGAAAAGGTTTGAACGGTGAGCAATGCAATGACACACAAACCAATAGGGCATACGATAGTTTAATATGGCGACCAGCTATTGACAAACAAAGACTACAAAAACAACCGTACCAGGTCTGAAATACACTCGCAGAAAGTTTGACGAAGAAACGTGACTTACAGTGCTCTAGGTTTGTGTGACTGTAACTATCATGCCCACAAATCATACCTTTAAATCTACATGTTTGCAATGTGTCTCGTCCTATTAGGCCATTTTGATTAACCTATGTGCCCGTACTGTTAGTGTGAGCGATGCCAGTATCACATATGTGTGAACACAATCTCCTACTGTTATCCATGGGGTAGAATCACACTCATTCTAAGTCAGCTCATAATGAACAATATCCATTTATCAAGGGACAAAAAGTTCATTTAAAATTCAAATTGATGTTCAAATATAGAAATAAATCAATTATAGAAAAGTCAACATTAATTATGTTATATACACCGCTTAGTCTAACTATCGCACGCAAACTTGCTCGCTTCACTTGGCATGTCATTACTTAAAACTCTACTAACTTGAGTGATATTTTCATTTCAGAGAGGCAAATGTCATATGTATGGTGATGACGTCACTATATGGAAGCTGAGGATATCACTAGATGTGGAGCATAGACGTCACAAACTTGATGTAAGTTGAGAAGGTCACTAGGTGTAAAATGTGGATGTCACTATATGTAAAGTGTGGAAGTCATTAGCTGTATGAAGAGGACGTCACGAAATGTACGCCAAGGACGTTACTTCGTGTAAGCTGATTACGTCACTACATGCAAGCTGAGGTCGTCACTTCATGTAATCTGAGGACGTCACTTCATGGAGGCTGAGGACATCACTTCATGTAAGCTGAGGACGTCACTACATGTAATCTGAGGCCATCACTTCATGTAAGCTGATTACGTCACTACATGTAAGCTTAGGACGTCACTTCATGTTAGCTGTGGACTTCACTTCATGTAAGCTGAGGACGTCACTAAATGTAAGCTGAGGACGTCACTACATGTAAGCTGAGGACGTCACTTCATGTTAGCTGAGGACGTCA